TGGGTTCAAGATCGACCACAAGTACAGTTTCTAAATTAAGCAACTGACATATGTGTGGAGAGCTAGTGTCACAATTTGTATGTTTGTCCTGCACACCGCCCCCCATCCAGTGGGCAGCAGTGGATAGGTTACAATCACTTAGTTACTACCTACAGTTAGCAAACTGGGGATATTTGGCTAAAATTTCTGGTAGCAGATCATTTTGAATGAAATATTAACACATCATTGGAACATTGGTTATAAAATTGTCTCTAAATTCACGTATCTTTTCGCACTCCATCACTAGCTTACTAGCTAAACACAGATGCCGAAGAAATATAAGAAAATTCACTTTCGCAAACAGAGTGGTAGACGGTTGGAACAAGTTAAGTGAGAAGGTGGTGGAGGCCAAGACCGTCAGTAGTTTCAGAGCGTTATATGACAAAGAGAGCTGGGAAGACGGGACACCACGAGCGTAGCTCTCATCCTGTAACTACACTTAGGTAATTACATAGTGACAGAGGGTGTGCGGATAATTTTGTTGACACAGTTTACATTTGGTCAGGTCTACATCGACAGATAATGAGAATTCCCAGAGATACTTATAACCGAGTCTAAGCCGAGCAGTACAGGTAGTAACATCTAGAAGTCTGCTGATTTTATTGGATGAATCATAGATGTGTGGCTCCTCTTGCATGATAGTATGATGATAGATGGAATTACTGGTTTTTCCAGGTTTACTGGTTTCCAGTAAGGTTTCCAGTAAAGTAATTACTGGTTTCCAGTAAGTAGCTACAGAGCTAGACTCCATCTGGGCCAACTGCTTTGTTCTTACTTAGCTCCAGGAGCATTTGTTTCACTTTGTTTCTAAACACCTCCATGTGCTCTATGCTGTTTTCTGGAATTCTTATTGTGTCTGGTTCTCTGAAAATCTCATTTTGTACAAACACACTTTGGAACTTTACGTTTAATGTTTCACACATTTCCTTTTAATTTTTCATGTATCTGTACCCCCATTTTCAACCTCTCAATATTATCCTTTACCTGCAGCTTGCTTTTAATGAATTTAGAGAAAAGGCCCAGATCTGATTTACATTTATCTGCTATACCGTTCTCAAAGTCCCTCTCTGCCTCTCTCCTTTCTGACGTGTAGTTGTTTCTCACATCTTTGTATCGCTGGTATGTTTGGGGGTTTGGTCTCTTCTTATAAAGATTCCATGCTTGTGTCTTTTGATCTCTGGCCCTCTCACAATTTATGATGAACCAACCCTGTTTCCTAGGTGGGGAGTTGTGTCGAATCGAGTTGTTGAGTCGAGTCGTGTCGAGTCAAGTTGAGTCGTGTTGTGTTGTGTACCAGACTAGACAGGAGTCTGGGGTTCTGGCTGCTGCATCTTGAGTACTGGTCTCTTATGTTTTAATATCACCAGTGTTGATAATTCTAATTATCATGATAGGGAAAAGTGATTAGAAGTGATTAGGGAGAAGTGAAAAGTGATTAGGGAAAATGGTTTCATTTTTATATTGAAACTATTTTAAATAAATTTATAATATTAAACTGTCCATCTGTTGTGTTCATTCATTCCTGCTTATTCATTTATAGAGTTGCCAGGCCCAAATCTTCTGTAAGCATTTCCCCAAGTTGTGGTGACGATCGTCACATGTTAAATTATCTTCCTCCTGCCTGTAATTATCAAGTGTTTTAGAATTATTTGGATGCCAGTGCATAGTAAGAGTTCTGTTAATAGGGTATTGTTCTCTCCCCCGTGCCAGTGTCCTTATTCTGGAATAGGTCACAGAAGGCGAGTGTCTGGGTATTGTGCCCACCACTACCTAGAGTAATTAACATCTTCAACTCTCCCGTGATCGATACCCTTCGCCAGTACCGGTCACCATTTATAACAACCCTCTGATTCTCTCTCTCTCTCTGACTCAAGTATCTCCCAAATGATACCTTGTATCTGGCCTCCTGCTCCCTACACCTATCTTCATTACATTACATTTGCTTGGGTTAAACTCTAACGATGATTTGTTGGGCCATTCCTTCAGATTGTCAAGGTCTTCCTGAAGCCTCAAGATTAGTAGGTCACTGCAAAGTACTCATTTTCAGTACTCGGGTGAAGGTGGTGGCAGTATTAAGTAGACTTAACTTTAAGTTAGTCATAATTTGTAAGAGCTGGCTTGGTGGTAGTATCAGTGGTGACAGCCAGGTGAGTGGTCATAAATGGTGAAATAACTGAAGTAAAGTGTTATAAAATAACTAAAGAAAGTCAAAGTGTTATACAGAGCACCACTTGGTTTCCGAACCCCTTGGGGACGAGACCCATCCGTTAACATGTAAGTTCGTAAACGAGAAATAGAGGGAAAAAATAAACTAGAAATGTAAAAATAAATGTTTAAAAAAACTCTAGGGGGACAAAATCGACAGGTTCATGGCATAAATGCGACCGTATTTTGTTTGTCCTCACCAATAAGTAAAGTCCTGATCCGCTTTATAAGTCCTTAATTGTTCATAACTGATTATTAAGACGTCTGGCAAACATCCTCTGGATGTTTCCTGCCAGCCTGCAGGAACATCCTGCCAGCCTGCAGGAACATCCTGCCAGCCTGCAGGAACATCCTGCCAGCCTGCAGAAACATCCTGCCAGCCTGCAGGAACATCCTGCCAGCCTGCAGAAACATCCTGCCAGCCTGCAGGAACATCCTGCCAGCCTGCAGAAACATCCTGCCAGCCTGCAGGAACATCCTGCCAGCCTGCAGAAACATCCTGCCAGCCTGCAGGAACATCCTGCCAGCCTGCAGGAACATCCTGCCAGCCAGCCTGCAGGAACATCCTGCCAGCCAGCCTGCAGGAACATCCTGCCAGCCAGCCTGCAGGAACATCCTGCCAGCCAGCCTGCAGGAACATCCTGCCTGCCAGCCTGCAGGAACATCCTGCCAGCCAGCCTGCAGGCACATCCTGCCAGCCTGCAGGAACATCCTGCCAGCCTGCAGGAACATCCTGCCAGCCTGCAGGAACATCCTGCCAGCCTGCAGGAACATCCTGCCAGCCTGCAGGAACATCCTGCCAGCCTGCAGGCACATCCTGCCAGCAGGAACATCCTGCCAGCCAGCCTGCAGGAACATCCTGCCAGCCAGCCTGCAGGAACATCCTGCCAGCCAGCCTCCAGGAACATCCTGCCAGCCAGCCTGCAGGAACATCCTGCCAGCCAGCCTCCAGAAACATCCTGCCAGCCAGCCTGCAGGCACATCCTGCCAGCCAGCCTGCAGGAACATCCTGCCAGCCAGCCTGCAGGCACATCCTGCCAGCCAGCCTGCAGGAACATCCTGCCAGCCAGCCTGCAGGAACATCCTGCCAGCCAGCCTGCAGGCACATCCTGCCAGCCAGCCTGCAGGAACATCCTGCCAGCCAGCCTGCAGGAACATCCTGCCAGCCAGCCTGCAGGAACATCCTGCCAGCCAGCCTGCAGGAACATCCTGCCAGCCAGCCTCCAGGAACATCCTGCCAGCCAGCCTCCAGGAACATCCTGCCAGCCAGCCTGCAGGCACATCCTGCCAGCCAGCCTGCAGGAACATCCTGCCAGCCAGCCTGCAGGAACATCCTGCCAGCCAGCCTGCAGGAACATCCTGCCAGCCAGCCTCCAGGAACATCCTGCCAGCCAGCCTGCAGGAACATCCTGCCAGCCAGCCTGCAGGAACATCCTGCCAGCCTGCCTCCAGGAACATCCTGCCTGCCAGCCTGCAGGCACATCCTGCCAGCCAGCCTGCAGGAACATCCTGCCAGCCAGCCTGCAGGAACATCCTGCCAGCCAGCCTCCAGGAACATCCTGCCAGCCAGCCTCCAGGAACATCCTGCCAGCCAGCCTGCAGGCACATCCTGCCTGCCAGCCTGCAGGAACATCCTGCCAGCCAGCCTCCAGGAACATCCTGCCAGCCTGCCTGCAGGCACATCCTGCCTGCCAGCCTGCAGGCACATCCTGCCTGCCAGCCTGCAGGAACATCCTGCCAGCCAGCCTCCAGGAACATCCTGCCAGCCTGCCTGCAGGCACATCCTGCCTGCCAGCCTGCAGGCACATCCTGCCTGCCAGCCTGCCAAAAATATACGCTGATGTACATTTAAGAAACAAATCTGGGTCACAGGTCTGTCGAGTTTGATTAGGCTTACGGAGTCAGCCGATCCCTCCCCCACCACTGACACACCTCCGTCTCTCCCCACCCCCACCCATACACACACACACTCAAAGGTCACGTGGTTCACCTCAACACCCATACATCGCTTCCTGCCTGCCTGCCTGCCTGCCAGTCAGCCAGCCAGCCAGCCAGTCAGTCAGCCAGCTGGCATTCCTGCCAGCCAGCCAGCCAGCCAGCCAGCCAGCCTGCCAGCCTTTCCCTGACTCCCTAATTCTCACTACTTCCCTCCCTTCCTGCCTACCTCCTAGCACCTTTCCCTACCTCCCCCTCCCTCCCTTCCTTCCTTTCTAATTCTCCCCCTCTCTCTCACTGATTCTCCCCCCTCTCTCATACTGCCTCCCACCTAAGCTCCCACATCCATCCACCCACCAGTCACCATCCACCCACCAGTCAGCCATCACTGACGCAATGCGTGCATTTGGAGCCAACATGGTGCACAGATGTTTCTTGATTGTGCAGATATGTAAAACAAAAGCACAGAATGAACATTCCAGCCTTATGGCAATTCAAAATAATAGGAATAATAGGCCGTGAATCTGTGAAGTCACAGTGGGCAAACTGGACCATCTCCCACCCACCACCACAAGCCGGCGTGATGCTTGGTGGACCCCTTCCTACCCGAACTTTGTTCGGGTAGCATGACTCCCCAACCCCAATCGGGAAACTGGAAGTTTTGGATAACTAAAGTTCGGAAGCCAAGTGGTGCTCTGTAACAAATGAAGTAAAAATATAAAAAAAATATGAAAAAATATACAAACAATTTCTCTTCATTCCTCTGGCTAGGCCTACATTGTGTGATAAAATGTAGACTAATGTTAAATTAAACATTCATATTGTCTGATAAATTTAATGTTTTATAATTTCTTCTGAAATACCTGGTTGATGGTTGATGGAAATGAGATGTAATTTATTATGCAGTAAAGATGTTTTCTATATAAACATTGTTTATTATGTAACATAACTCACTTATATATACCAAGACAATGCCTATACACAAAACATTGCTTCATGTGTCGGGAACACATCTACCAAATGTCTGGTACTACCCTTCAAGTTTGACCTGGTTAACAATACACACACCTTCAGTAAAACAATAACATTTATGACATTTATGAACACAAAATTAAAAGTCAAACTACCAAAGAAGATATACTATGGCACAATGTAATCAAGTCCGCCCAATACCTCATTTGGCACAAATAATTGACCAAAACGTGTCCCAAATATACAAGCTTTCCACTAGTAATATTGTACTCTACTGTACTGTCTTAATCCTCGGTCATCTTTTTCTTAATTAATCATTTTTGTTTAAAAGTAATTACTTTTTCTTAAAGTAATTAATAGGTCACAAGCACAAATACTTGTTAAGCATTGCCAGTTTTATTACAAGCCTGATTATAGGGTAGACTGATGACCATAAATCGCCACTGTCTCCTAATGGGGCTCGGTAATCTGAATGCTACAATTTTATTTTCAAAGTTACGTAAAAGGCACTGTAAATCACTGTACATTATAGTGATTAATATGAACCACTTTTCAGTTGAAGCCACTTACCAAGGTGTAGTGACAATACCCACCACAACCATCACTGGCATCAGGCATCTTATTTGTAGCAACAATTACAACAGCAACAGCAGCAGCAGCATTACATTATAACTTGAGCTCTTAAGTCTAATAGTGGCCGGTACATCAACGTACAAACATCATATATTAGTTTACTAAAGTAGAAGTGCTTTCCAGTTTTCCTTCATATTTCTTCAAAACTGGCTCCACCTCACATTTTAGAAACTCCTCCACCTGCAAAGAGAATAACATGTAAGAAAAAATGTATGTAAAATGAATAATGAAATGTCCTTTACTGATAGACCGTCAGTAGCTGCCAAGAGCTCCCTTACACACTGGGTGCCCCTGCTAAGCCTCCGAGTGTGCAAGGCTCCTGCGACCAACTGGGAGCCACAATCAAGGATCTGGCTCTATAAGGCGAGGGAGCTTGGCAATCTACCCAAACTGAGGAGACCAACAAGTCAGATATAAGTAAGTTTGAAAGAAAAATGAAAATAAGGGTGATGATAGTTCACTGTTTTCTTGAACAGTGTTACGGTGCCCTCTCCCATTTCTATCCAATGCCAGCGTTAAGAGTCATATCCACTTACCATGCAGGTTCCCCGAGATGCAGGGAGTCATTTGATATGAGAGGCTACTGGATAGGTTCCTTATTTATGGAGAAATCATCAAAAAACATCTGGAGCAAAAGAACTTTGTAACACAGCATCAACATGGTTCAGGGATGGCAAGTCCTGCCTCACAGGATTAACTGAATTCTATGACCAGGCAACAAAAATCAGGCAAGAAAGAGAGGGGTGGGCAGACTGCATATTTTAGGATTGCCAGAAAGCCTTTGACACAGAACCACACAAGAGGCTAGTGCAAAAGTTGGAGATGCAGGCAGGAGTGAAAGGGAAGGTACTCCATTGGATAAGGGAGTACCTAAGCAACAGAAGACAGCGAGTCACTGTGAGGTGGGAGGTCTCAGACTGGTGAGGCGTCACCAGTGGAGTTCCGCAGGGTTCAGTCCTTGGACCTATACCGTTTCCAATATATGTAAATGATCTCTCTCCCAGAGGGTATAGAATCTTTCCTCTCATTGTTTGCTGATGCTGCAAAAATTATGAGGAATTAAAACAGAGGAAGATAGTATGAGGCTACAAGATGATCGAGACAAACTGAATGAATGGTCCAACAAATGGCTACTAAAGTTCAACCCGAGTAAATGTAAGGTAATGAAATTCAGCTGTGGAAACAGGAGGCCAGACACAGGATACAGAATGGGAGATGAAGTACTTCACGAAACAGACAGACAAAAAAATCTAAGAGTTGATATCACACCAAACCTGTCTCCTGAAGCCCACATTAAAAAGAATTACATCTGCGGCATATGCGAGGCTGGCTAACATCTGAACATCCTTCAGGAACCTGTATAAGAAATCATTCAGAACCTTGTATACCACATCTGTAAAACCCATCCTGGAGTATGCGGCCCCAGCATGGAGCCCGTATCTTATCAAGCACAAGACAAAGCTGGAAAAAATTCAGAAGTATGCCATTAGGCTAGTCCCAGAACTAAGAGGCATGAGTTACGAGGAAAGGCTGCATGAAATACACCTCATGACACTGGAAGACAGAAGAGTAAGGGGAGACAGGATACCTACAAAATTCTCAGAATTGACAGGGTAGATAAACTGTTTAACACGGGTGGTACACAAACAAGAGGACAAGCAGAGACCGAGTACCCAAATGAGCCACAGGGATGTTAGAAAGAACTTTTTCAATGTCAGTGTTTTCAATAGTTAACAGGTGGAATGCATTAGGCAGTGATGTGGTGGAGGCTGACTTCATACAGTTTCAAATGTAGTTGTGATAGAGCCCAGTAGGCTCGAGAATCTGTACATCAGTTAATTGACGGTCGACAGGCAAGACCAAAGAGACAGAGCTCAACCCCCGCAAGCACAACTAGGTAAATACACACCCACCTCAGGTTGCAGCGCACATCTTAGTGGTGGAGTACACGAGTGGTTATCACAAGTAGGATATGCGAGTATTACAAGTGATTAACATTTGGCCAATAATTTGGGAAGAGATAAGTAATTCCCTGGAGATAAGGATGTGTGGGTGGCAAATGCTGATTTGACACCCTAGACAGTGTTGTGGGCTTGTGTGGATTATGTATAATTCAATTAGTCGTGTTTCTTAAGCCTTTCTCCCTGCAATTTCCTGCCAAGTTGGTAGCCCCATTGCAGGAGACTATTTACCCCTGGGAAGCATTTGGTTGCCCTGTTTCCATGGCAGAACTTTTATATTTTAGGTGATACCAGTACTGTACTGTACTGTACTTTAAAACAACCTGGATTGTGTCGTGCAGCCGAGAGATATTTGCTGAGAACATTCCTCGTTGTGTCATGCAGTGGAAGGGTTATAAATCTACTAATAGTTTTTTTTCCTATTTAAAATAAAAATCTAACCATAAATATTTTACAAATAATTCCCTAAAATTTGTCTTATATTTTAATGTATAGTACAGTATATGAACATTTCAGCTTAGTCTAGTACTTATCAGGTATTTGAGTTTGAGAATTAACAAGTGTACAGTACTAAGGTGTCACTGGTAATGGTAAGTGGACTCACCTGTTGTGGTGCTCGACCAATGAAGGTTGAAGGGTTGAGGAGGGCATCAATCTGTCCATGTATGGGAGCAAAGTAAGGAGAAGCCTTTATCCTTTCCACCAAATCATTCTCCAAACCCTCCTGTTTCACTTTATTTCCTGCAGCTTGACTGTGTACACGGATCTCTTCATGACACTCCTGTTAGGGTATACATTAAGAAAACAATTTAACCTCTTATTACTTATCATAAACAAACTACAGTAGTAGGAAATACTCAGAGTTATCATCCTTTATACTGGTCATCCTTTGCATTACCAATACAAAAAAGGTGTAATAAATGAATACAAAAATATTTTAATCAATTAGTGTACCTGACTAAATGGTTCCTTCCTGAAAGCAGCAACTATAACAAAGTTGTTGAAAATCAAGAATAATGCAATTTTACATTTACAGAATAAATTAGTACGGAACAACAAGAAAATACAAACCTAAATCAGTACCTCAAGAAAATAAGCTCGGTGGCACTGGAAACATGCTCAAGCTGCATACCTCTAAGAAAAGAGGAAGAGATGCAAACTAGAACGACATTCCCTCTATAGATGAAGAAAACAAATTGCCGAATAACTTGAATGCCCCAACTTAACACAAGAATGACAAGGAAGGCTAGAAGGCTATGTAGAAAAATAGAAATGACTGAACTGAAGCTACAAGAATCATAAAATACAGAAGAGGCAGAGAGAACAAAGGCCATCAGCAAAAGAGAGAAATCTGAAATACTTTTTCTCCTATGCAAAATATAGAACAAAAACTACATCCAGTATTGGGCCCCCTACAAAAGGGAGATGGAACTTATATACCTGTACAGTGGTACCTACGTGTACGACTGCCCTTGAGAACAATTTTTTTTATATAGTGTACTTTAACACTTTCGCGCTTTCGATTAGAGATAACTCGTCACTGGTTTTTCTTACGATTCCGCATAACTGCCTACTTTTCTCGTCAATCGAAAAAATATTTCTATAAATTCCATTTTTTAACCGAAATGGATGGGGATACTCTCAGATTGTTCTCCATGAAATTCCCGTTCTCCCTCACCGAACACATGGCATCTCGGCCTACCCGGTCACGTGGTCGGCCCATTGTTTTGTTGACACGCCAAGTGCCCACACTGTGCTCCCCTCTCGCGGCAAACGTGACCCGTTTTACGCATTTATTTCCGTTCCGTTTCCGTTCTCGTGTACCTAAAACCCATTCAATACCTTCAACATGGATGCTGCACCAGGAACAAGCAGTGGAACGCAAAACAAAGGTAGGAAATCTAAGAAAGCAGAAGAGATCGCCAGGATTTTCGATCTGTATCGTGGGGTCAATCTCACTCCATCCAAGATTCCCGACGTTGTTGAAGCCTTTTCAGGGTCTTCTGATGATGATTTGGAGGCTGACGAACCGGAAAATGATGTTCTTTATGAGGTTTCCTCAAGTGATGAAGATATTTCGAGAGTGAGGATGAGAGTGATGAAGAAGCCCCAGCCCCGCCACGCGGTAACCGCACGTGTCCGGTACCAAAGAGGGCTAGGCTGGGTGATGAGTGTAATCGTAGCAATACTCCTCCCATCGTTGATGACTTTACTGCAACCCCTGGCCTAACAATTCCACTACCTGCTACTCCATTGCAGTTTTTACAATTATTTTTCACTAGAGCAGTGGTTGAATACTTAGCGTATGAAACAAATTTGCATGCCACACACGTCATACATCTCATGGCTGAGTCAGCAAGAAAAACGTGGAAACCAGTGTCGGTGAAAGAAATGGCCCGATATTTGGCCCTGTGCATACTGATGGGCATAGTGAAGATGCCTACAATGAGGATGTACTGGCAGACGAATCAGATGTGGCATTGTCGATTCTTCAACTTGTTTATGTCGTCTGCTCGGTTCCAACACATTTCTAAGTTCTTCCACATGTATAACAAAAAAGGCGTTCCAGTGAATAATGGTGACCGATTGATAAAAGTTAGACCACTAATGGACTATTTTTCAGAAAAATTTGAATCTGTATATATCCCCAAAAAAGAATTGAGTCTCGATGAGGGTACAATGGCTTGGCGAGGCCGCCTCTCTTTCAAGGTCTACAATCCCAACAAGCCTGATAAATATGGTGTAAAATTTTATATGTTGGCCGAAGGGAAATCAGGCTACATATATAAATTTGATGTGTATTGTGGAATTGGAAAACGACAGTGGAAACCGTGATGGGGTTGATGGCACCCCTAGTCAACAAGGGTTATCATTTGTATATGGATAACTACTATAACTCGGTAAGCGTAACAGAACAATTACGTGAAGTGGGTGTTTACACATGTGGCACACTTAGACTCCAACGTGGCGCCCCCAAGGATCTGCAACAAGTGGTAAAGGGTAAAATGGCAACCGACACGACCCTATACATGCGTAAGGATAACACCTTTGTTATAGTTTGGAAGGACAAGCGCCCCGTCTCTGTCATCACCAATATCCACAATGCCGACACTGCTCAAGCACAGCGCAGGAAACGCGTTCGTAAACGTGACGGGAGAACTGGACTAGAACTTGTGAAAATGAACAAACCAAAGGCCATAGTGGATTACAATAAGTTCATGAAAGGTGTTGATCATTTTGATCAAATGGTCAAATATTATGAGTTTGCAAGAAAAACATACAAATGGACCAAGAAGATCAATTTCTATTTTCTGCAAATAGCCATGCGCAATGCATACGCATTGTATAACCACTACTCAACAGACACAAAAAAACTAACACTATTTGAGTTTCACGCAGTAGGAATAAAAGCCTTATTTGCGTGGAACAGCGAGGACTGGCCAACAACAACAACAAGCATACCACATGTTCCCGACATAGATGCCAGCGCAGCTCCTCCTGCTGACGCGGCAGTTTCAACACCCGGGCCATCTGGTGCGAGGCGTCCTCTGTTCACCTCAACACCTCAAGCCCACTCATCAACCACAAATTCTGAAATGGACATTGAGGACATAGAACCACTTGATGTTTCTGATTTCATAGAAGATTCTACTACAAGTTTGGTGGTTCCTGTAGAAGACAATATTCTTCCAGTGAATCCAAAAAATACAAGAATTATAGATTCAGAACAACGTTTCAACTACAAGTTGACGCATGAACTCGTGCACTTGGCTAAAAAAAAAAGATGCCGTGTTTGTTACAAGTCTGGCAAAAGGAGGGACGTGATATATGGATGTAAAACTTGTGATGTGGCACTGTGCGCTGCGCCTTGCTACACAAGGTACCCCTGAAAAAAGATATTTTGGGTGGAGAAAAAATAACCACCGGCAACAGCTTCACTCCACCTAAGAAACATCAGATGAGCAACTTCAGGATTAGAAGCCTGAAGATGGTGGAGTGAAGAAAAAATGCTCAACTGTTGATCTTCAATCAACATAGACAGGGTAAGTACACCTATTTTTAATTTTTTATCATCTATAAGAAGTTATATTATATACGTTTTGTAGAGAATTTATTTGCGAATTTTTTGGTACCAGAATGAATATTATATCACATAAACTTCTATGAGTAAAAAAAAAAAACACAAAGTATGTTTGGGGGTGTGGCGGGTGTGGCTCTGGGTGTGGCGGCCGTGTGGCAGTGGGTTCCCTTTAGCTGTTGATATATCCAACACGTGGGAAATATTTGTATGTGTTATGTATATGTCTGTGTAGGGAATTTTACTGCGATCACTGTCATACAAATTATAAAATGTTTCAACAAGTATAAACATGACAAACATCAAACGAACGAAAACAATGCGTTCGTTTCTGCCGCGAACGCATACTGAGCGACGTTGTTCTATATTTGGCGCTTCTCTTACACATGCTTTGTACAAATGTTATACATTTCATCTTATAGAAAATTTTATTGCGAACACATTGGTATAAAAAAGAAATACGTACATAGAAAAGTAGGGTCAGGAAACGTATAAATGTATAAACTTTCCAAGCATGATTTCCCCCGTGTTTTCGCCAGTGCGCTCGCGGCTAACTACTCTCCACTTCACACACTCTTGCGGGTGGGCAATTACCTATATTAAACATTCATATGCATATGTCCGTGTAGAGAATTTTATTGCGATTCCAATGATACCAAAATTAGCGATGTAGGACAACTGTAGGCTTCGCAACCATTAAGAGAGTGGAAACATTTTGTTGCTGTTTGGCGCTCTCGGCGAGTGATCTGCATAGTTTTTTATTTGGTGTTGATACTCCTTATGCTTAGGCGGCATTTTATAGGTATGCTCTTATAGACAATTTCATTGCGAACGCAGTGATACCAAATTTAAATACGTGCGCCTTCAATTATTGTCAGGACAGTCAAAAGAGTGTACACTTTTTCGATCTTACGCGTAGGCGCGCGAAGTGCCGAAAGCATCTAGGGTATTGATTTTTTTTGAGCGCCAAGAGCGCGAAAGTGTTAAATTCTTTGTAAATTTTAAATTGGTGTACAACGTTTCACTTGGAATATGACACCTGTTGATGCGTGTATGAGTTGAACAAGCACGTGGTACTGTAGGCGCGGGGGCAAGGCACACTTAGTTGTTTACCAGTATCCCGTAGAGTGACGACCACGACCGCGCTTGAATTCTTTGTAAAGAATTTCATTTTTTCTGCTTTTTTGGTTTCTGAACAAAGTTCTTATTACAGTGGTACCTCGGAATGCGAGTGTCCCTGTATGCGAGTTTTTCGGAAGACGAGCAGGATTTACTCCAAAAATATGTCTCGGAAGGCGAGGATTACCTCGGGACGCGAGTTTGTTGATACGAGTACAGGCCGACTGGCGCGTGGTGGCATGGCGATCGCGCCTCAGTTTACCAGTGTCTCGTGTCCAGTGACTATCCCACCTGAATTCTTCACAAGGATTTACAGTTTTTTATCGTTTTTTTTGCCATTTGAGCATAAAAGTTGTCATTATATATCTTGCCATGGGTCTCAAGAAAGCCATTGGTAAGGTTCAACCTAAGAAAATAGCTGTGAGTAGAGGCAGTAGAGGATGTCCCTTCTTGATTAAGAAAATGTGTGAAGTATGGGAAGAACTGCAAAGTTTTGTTGAAAAAACTCACCCAGATAAAGCTGTAGCAGGCCGTTGCATTGACCTTTTAAATGATAATGTGATGTCTTACTACAGACAAGTGTT